TGGCCAACTGTTGACAACTTTTAGAACTTTGGGAGCACGTCTTGGGATCATGAACTCTATTTCTTCTCCATTGGGGACTTCTTTTAAATGACTATGAATTAGATTATTATTTTTTTAATTTTCTATAACAATATGTCTAGTTAAACCAATAGTTAGGGCTATGGTGGATCCTTTGCATGATTTTATGTGAACTTTATGCTTAATAATAATTTTAGTTTTCTTTCTTGATTTAGTTTATCCTATTGCGCTATATTGTACAAAATTGACAATTCTTAAACATACCATAATTAATTATATTATTGGTGACTGTACTACATATAGTTAATGGATCTATAGGATAAAATGAGACAAAGAATTAGGTGGACCAAACTTAGTTCTTCTCTTTCAATAGTTATTAAATTAATAGTTCATAGGCTTTTTATGCTTTCTCTTCGTCTTACCTTACATGACATTGGGGAGTAATAGTATAGGGAAAAGACTATTAGCATTACATAACCATTGAATGTTAATAGATTTTGTACATGTAGTTGTCAATCATAAGAAAATCAGATTAGATTTAATTTAAAAGTGAACTTAAAGAAGTGTGAGGGTGAAACTAAAGTCCTAGAATTCATCTCGACTAGTTTATTCTCATAATTTGTGTTGTTTTAATTCCATTTAATTACTTTTATATTTGAATCCTTGTTTTATTTAGTTTTTCATCCTTTAAGTTCAAACAATTGAATTAAGATATTCTAGATACTTAAAAACAATTCTTGTGGGACAATATTTTAGAAACTTATTTTAGAACATCTTTATAACTTATTAGTGAAAGGGAATGTCTTAACAATAAGATATGTTTCTTTAGTCTCTTTAGGAGTGGATTGGAAAGTAATACCTTCTCTATTAAGATTCTTCTTCTAATTTAGTGGCTTTCTATGAAGCTTCCAACAATTCTCTCTTGTATGCCAAGGTCTTTTACAATGATCACCATGGATTTTTATCTTATCTCCCTCAAATCAAAGACTTTTGTGACAAGGGCTAATCTTTTGCTTGTTGTGTCACAAAAATTTATAGATTCTAAAGTATTATTCTCTTTCTTGCTTCCTCGTGCCTAGCATAAGAGAAAACCTCCTAAATGGAAGGTTGAGGATTTTGGGCTAAGATTCTCCCCCAAACTTCATCCTTGGGATTTTTCCAGTCATTTTGCTTTAGGGTTATAGCTTCAATCTAAGCTAGTAAGAAATGTGTAAATTGTATCATTTTCTTCCCTTTTCTTGAACTACGCTGCATCCTTGGAATTTTCCCAATCAAATTTATAACACTGTTCTCACTCTTACCACAAGGTTACATAATATTATAATAGATGGTAGCATTTTGATCACCTTGCTTGAATTGTCATGATCGAGTTTTCAAATCATAGATATGAGAGTAGTTCTCCAAATCTAAGTAACATTCCACAAACAATCTCCTAATGTCCTTATCTAATGGTAAGAACAAGTAGGATTTCCCAACAGTTGGTTCCATGAAATTAATCAACCATGCCATTATAAGAGAATTTTTTACCTTCCACTTTGTCCATAAAAGGTCATCATTCTTTGATTTTAGTTTCTTCAATAAGATATCCCATCTTTACTCTCCCTTTTATCGCCAATTTCACATACTAGGCCAACTTAAGATAATTCTTCCCATCAAGCTTGTGTACAATGAGTTAGAGATTTAAATTGTGAGAAGAAGTTTCTGCTAATGTCACTCCATCCTGACTCTTACTGGTTGGTAGAGGAGGAGTTGCCATTTCATCCATGGTAGTTGTACCATTCATTGACATTTGGAGAAGATAAGGTTCAAAGTCTGAGCTCTAATAGCATACTCGAAAGGAAAGAGAATAATTTGTATACCAAAAAGAAAAAAATGAATAATTATTTCTCTTATTATTTTATTTGAGATATAACTCAGTGATTTATAAGCAAAATTGGTTTTTAAACAAGGAAACTAGTATGCTATAAAAGTAAGTAAGAGGTAAATACAAATATAAAATCTCCTATGATTTGATCAAAATTAGATTTTAAATTAATTTAATTTTTATACAAAAAATATATCAGTTCCAATTTTAGAAATAACTCATGGCTATATATATATATATAACATAATTTTGAGGTTGTATTACATCCTTACTTTTTTATTATAATGTTTGTTAATTTGACATAAGTTTAAAATCTATATAATTAAATTCAAGATAATTAAATTAGTGTATATTAACATGTTCATTAAAAAGTTAGTTATTTTTAAGTGTGATTAGTTTGATAATACTCTTAATTAACGAATAAAAGTTGATAACCAGTATGAAATATTTCAATTTAAACAATTATAGAGATATAAGGTGTATAACTCATTTATTTTTGCATTACGAGTTGAACAAGTTTATTGCACATCATATTCACAAGGACACAATGATTGACTAGTTGTTATTAAGATAACGACATGCAATGTATTAAATACTAACTTGTTATGAAATAAACGTAAAATTATAAAGAGTAAATGAGAAAATAGAGACAACAATATAAAGAGGAAGAGAAAATCTCAATTTCATTTCACATACCCTCGATACAAATGAGACAATTATTTATAGGCCTAAATCTATAATTGAAGAATCTCATCTCTTTAAATGAGAATTAAACAAAATTGTTACAAAATTGTAAGTTACAAAGAATATGAGGAGTTATGAATATGGACATTCACTCATATAATAATTCATAACACTCACCCTTAAATGTCCATTATTTGAGAATATGTTTCATAACATCTGTCACGACCCCATTTTATAAAGAATCAATGACATCCTGCATTACCTTTGTTAATTCACTTAGTCGTTTATTAGATATTACATGTACGAGTCCAAGAATATAAATTTATTGCAAATTGGAATTTGACATTTACATCAATAAAATAACAAAGCTTCTTGGATATTTTCATGTAACACCAAACTTTACAAAAGAAAATTTATATATTTACAACATAGTGATTCAGTGAGGATTTCAAAATACAAGGGTTCAAAATGTAGTTACATTCCTTGGCAAATTAATAATTCAACAGTTTAGACTTAATGCTTAAAATCTAGTCTAACAAAATGATTAACTTCGTGATCTTCCAAAAAGCTAACTCCAATGTCTCTCAGCCAGACCTTCTAACTTGAGAAGTGGATGCATTTCCAGTAACTTCTGCTTACGTACCATCGTACAATCATTGTAGCACACACTTACCAACACAACAAAATATAAGGGTGAACTTATAAAATTGACAACCTTAATAATGAAACATGAATGAATATAGATAAAATTAATTAAACAGCTCATAACAATCAGCACACATCATTACACAACTTCAACAAAATAATACAACATGTTCAGCCCATTCCAGCCCATCTAATGCAAATGCAGTGGTTCAGTTTTCATCTGGTTTCATAGCTTAAGTAATCCAGAAGAACTATTTTTCGGTTTGGGAGCGACCCATCCCAGTATCTGGATCTAGACACAGCATAGCTCAGCATCGTAAGCAACTTTAAAATGATGATAATGAATGTGATACATCACACTGAGATCAATATAATAAAGCACAATTAAATCTACATTCAATCTCAGCAATTCAGCAATCCATATAATTTCAGCCAGCTTCAACATCACAGGCACATACATATATTCACAGCCTCAGCAATACAGCTTTGTACATTTACACATTAAAATCAAGTAGCTCATAGCTGTAAACAAGTATTTTTGACTAATTAAATAGCAAACAACTTTAATAAAACTTTTCAACATATTTTGACAGTCTCAGCACATATATCACCATATTTTAACATATCGTGTCTTCTTTAAATCATTCTAAGTATTCACTAGGCAATGGAGAAATCTACTCAGCTATACTATTTTGAGTGTTATTCTAGAATCTGAAGACTAAACAACTTATTTCTCAGCTATGTCAGAATTAAGTTCATAAATAGCTCCATATCTATTATACAAATAAACCAGCTCACATAAGCTCCCCTTACCTTAAACAAGTTCCAAGATAGTACTCCTAGTGAGTTCCACAGAGATAGTTCAACTGTTTGGGTATGAAGTACAACTTGAATGGCTCAGATCTACTCAGGACAACATGATATAAATCTCTAGAGAAAGAGAAAAAGGAAATAAAGTAAAGACTGAAAACTGAGCTCTAAGAACTCACCTAGATCTCGATGAGATAGAAGATCTCACTTTGATCGAGGAGAAATAGAGAAAACACAAAGAGAATGAGAGAGAGAAGTTGTCTGGTGAGAAAATGAAGTTTCTGGGCGCTGAGGCCCCCTTAAATACCCCTCCACCCTGCGTACTCTCGCTCAAGCGAGCTAACTCTCGCTTAAACGAGATCTGCTCTCGTCTGGTCGAGCTCACCCTTTCCTGAGTAAGAAAACTAAAGAGTGGAACCTCTCAGGTTTCTGTTATTCTCAGTTGAGTGAGCTACATCTCGCTTGGGCGAGCAACATTTTCGCTTAGGCGAGATTACGTCCAGAGACCTACCTATTACTCCTGCGACTCATTGCTTGAGCGTGCATCTCTCGCTTGAGTGATGTCACCTCTCACCTGAGCGAGATTGCTTCTCGCTTAAGCGATGTTACAACTGAGACAATCCTATCTGATCTCGCTTGAGCAAGTACCCTGCACCTAGACTTCAAATTTCTCTCCCAAGTTAAATACTACCAACTCTTAACCATGCTTTCTAAATTATCCAGACACTCAGCACACTTAATAATCATTCTCTAGCTCACACTTTACTTCGCATTCAATCAACATCATCATTATACAGCACAACAACCGTACTACTCCTTATTCGGCAATTACATAACCTTTATATTCCATATTCTAACATATAAACAATTCACCTAGTTTAAATCTACACAACCTTAATCAATAGGCATAATAATAAATACATATGATTACACCAATCTTACAATTCTCCCCCTGAAATAAATTTTCGTCCTCGAAAATTCACTCATCATAAAAGAGATGAGGATATTGCTCCCTTTTCTGATCCTCCAACTCCCACATGGCATCACCAGTAACTGGATCCCAAACAATTTTTACTAGTTGAATTGACTTGCCTCTGAGCTCCTTAACTTTAGTGTCTTCAATATGTGCAGCTGGAAGCTCAATCAACAAATCGTCTCGTTTTTGCACAACATCTGGTTCAATCACATGAGTTGGATCTGGAATGTAGTTCCTTAACTGATGCATATGAAAGACATTATGCAGTTCTGCTAACTGAGGCGGTAGTGCCAATTCATAGGCTATGGGTCTTCTGCGATGCAATATCTGATACGACCCAATAAACTTAGGCGTCAGCTTCTTGGCCTTCAGAGCTCGTCGTACACCCGTAGTTCTTGATACTATCAAGAACACGTGATCACCCACCTTAAACTCCAAAGGTCTTCGACGCCGATTAGCATATGATTTCTGATGGCTTTGAGCTGCTTTCAACCTTTTTTGTATAAGCCTAACTTGCTCCTTAGTTTTCTGAAGCATTTCTAGCCCAACCATTAAATGTACTCCATCTTGAAACCAATAGACTGAAGTTTGGCATCTCTTGCCGTACAAGGCTTCAAAAGGTGCATGCCGAAGCTTGAATGATAGCTATTATTGTAGGTAAATTCCACAAGAGGAAGCATGTCTTCCCAATCACCCTTCTGATCAATAATATAAGCACATAACAAATCTTCTAATGTTTGAATAGTTTGCTCTAACTGACCATGAATTTAAGTGTGATAGGCTGAGCTCAGCCTCAGCTAGGTACCCAAAGCTTCTTAAAAACTCTACTAGAATTAAGAAGTGAAGTGAGGGTCCCTATCAAAGATGATGCTAGAAGGTATTCCATGCAACTTAACAATCTCTCTGATATACAGCTTAGCAAGTCTTTCCATGGTATAGGTCATGTTAACTGGGAAAAAGTGAGTACATTTAGTCATTCTATCAACTATGACCCATACATTATCATGATTCCTAACAGTCTTCTGCAAATGGGAGACACAGTCCATGGTCATAGAGTCCCACTTCTACTCAAGGATCTCCATGGTTTGCAATTCTCCAGGCAGACAATGATGCTCTGGTTTTGCTTTTTGACAAGTCCAAAGTTGGCTATTTCACCTCTCATGCCCGGCCAACAAAACATCTGCTTCAGATCTTGATACATTTTTGTTACTTTAGGGTGGAGATTTAAGCTACCCTTATGTCCTTTCTCTAGAATCTTCCTCCTCAACTCAGCGCCTCTAGGAATATAGATTTGGTCATGGTATCGAAGAATACCATCAGCACCTCGATTGAAACCTACCGTGCGATTTGTGCCCAAAAGAAATACAAGTTGGCATAATCTAGGATCCCACAACTGTTTATCCTTAACTTGTGGGAATTCACTAGTCACCACAATCCTTCCATAACTGATCGTCCCAAGTAATATAATCATGTGCAAGTTCAAATTTCTAAATTGCTCTATCAAAAGAGACTCACTAACTTTCAGTGAAAAAGTCTGAACTACACTTTGAGCATCTGGTACAACATTAGCCTTGCCTGGATGGTACTGAAGTTGAAACTCATAATCTTTAAAAAATTTCATCCAGCGCCTCTGCCTCATATTCAACTCCTACTGATCAAACAAATATTTAAGGTTTTTGTGATCACTATATACATCAAATTGCGATCAGTAAAGATTGTCCTGCCAAATCTTTAAAGCAAAAACCACTGCAGCTAATTCCAGGTCGTGCGTGGGATAATTCCGCTCATGAGTTCTTAACTGGCATGATGCATACGCCACCACTCTCTTGTCTTGCATCAATACACATCCTAGCCCTTGATGCGATGCGTCATAGTACACCTCAAAAGGTCGACTAATATCAGGAAGAATCAACATCAGAGAGGATATTAACCTCTGCTTCAACTCATTAAAACTCCATTCACAGTCCTTTGTCCAAATGAAGGGTTAATCTAAGCAAGTTAATCGCATTAAAGGTGAGGCAATCTTTGTGAATCCCTCTATAAACCTCCGATAATAACCTGCCAAGCCCACAAAGCTATGAAACTCAGTGACTATTTTTGGTCTTTCCCAAGTGTTCACACAGACAATTTGGCATATAATTGCTTTTCTCTTAAAATCTCCAAAATAATCCTCAAATGTTCAGCATATTCATCCTTTGAATTGGAATAGATAAAAATATCATCGATGAACACCACCACAAATCGATCTACGAATGGTCTAAAGATACGATTCATGTAGTCTATAAATATTGCTGGACATTAGTAACTCCAAAAGGCATCACCACATACTCATAATGCCCATACCGAGTACAGAAAACAGTCTTTGGAATGTCCTAATCCTTTACTCGAATTTGATGATATCCAGACTTTAAATCAATCTTTGAGAATACCTTAGCACCTTTCAGTTGGTCTATCAGATCATCAATCCGCAGCAATGGATATTTATTCTTAATAGTTAGCTTGTTCAGCCGACGATAATTTACACAAAGTCTAGAACTTCCATTTTTCTTTTTCATCAGAAGGACCAATGCTCCCTAAGGTGACACACTTGGCCTCATCATCTTTTCTACATTAGATCCTCAATATGATCTTTCAGCTCCATCAATTCTCTCAGCACCATCTGGTAAGGTGCTATAGATACTGGCTCAGCTCCAAGTACTAAGTCTATGCCAAACTCGATCTCCCTGGGTGGAGGTATTCCAGGAACATCATTAGGAAAGATTTCTAAAAAATCTCTTACAACCGGTATTGACTGAAGTTCCTGCTCCTGCTCTATATTCATAACAACTAAAAGAACAAAGGATAAAGCTCCATCGCCAAGAGCTACCTTCACTTGGCGTGTAGGAATCATTTCCAATAAATCTTACTGCTCAGGGAAAATTAAACGTCCCTGGGCACAATCAATCACAACATGATTGGCAGTCAGCCAATTCATGCCTAGAATTACATCCAAACTCAACATAGGGATATTAATAAGATTAACCCTATACTCCTGTCCCTCAACTACTATAGGATATCCAATACAAACTGTTGAAGTTGTTATCGAATTCAAAGTGGACGTCGCCACTACCAAATTACATCTCAAATCACTTACAGGAAATCCTAAGTTTTTCAGACAGACATCCGCAATGAAGGAGTGCATGGCTCTAAAATCAAAAAGCACGGAAAGGGGTGTACCTGCCACCACTCCTGTCCCTTGTACAAGATCTATAGCTTGAGCAGCTTCTATCCCAGAAGTAGTAAATACACGGGCCTCAGCTCTAGGCCTAGTCACTTGTGTAGCCCTAACTGCTCTTGGTCTCACGACATGTAAAGCACTAGCAGTGGACGATGCTGCTCCAATTTGAGAAGTAGGGCAATCCTTAGCAAGATGCCCCGACTGTCGGCACAAAAAATAGACTCTAGTGTCAGCCTGTTGACATTGATTCAGATAGTGTGGTCCTCCACACCTGAAGCATCTCACTATAGTAGGGGCTGAAACTCTAAAAGATGGTGTACTTGCTCCCTTCGGTTGAAGAGCAGAGGTGGCAGTACCCACTGGTCTAGGAGCTGATAATGTCGCTCCTTTAGACTGGGAAGGTCGAAACTGCTACTGGCGATATGGAAAGAATTTTCCCAAGAAGCTATTGTTAAATACTTCCTATGTAATAACTTTTCCTTGAGCCTTTAACATAGTACAGGCTCCCTGCCACCACATCTCCGCATCTCTTAACAACATATATGCGTCATAAACGACTTTTTTATTCTCAGCACACCCCATGGTGAGAAATATTTTCTCAATCTCTCGGATTCAGAGCTCAACTGCGTCTAGTTCGTCAATTTCAGTGAACTGAGGGGGTTAACTCTTCCTAAACTCAGATAGCCCCTAATACTCATGTGATGGTACTGCTGCAGCAGAAGCTATTACTGCTACCTGAGCTGCACGGCTGGTTTACTTGCAACTTGTTGCTGTTGGACCACTTCTAAACTCTATCTTATGGCGGCTACCATGGCCCCTATAGCGTGAGCCATCTGGTTCACATCAGGTGGAGGAGGATTTGAAACAGGTCTCCTAGATGGCCTTGCCATCTTAACATAAAACAAAACCAACTTAGAATATTTACAACAAACCACATCTCAATTTAACTATTCATCTACTCAGCTAATCTACTTCAATAAACACCTTTGCAACAAAATGTACTTCATTACATATCAACACAACACATGCACAAGCTCAACATATAACAACATATGAAAGCAGACTTATAACACATTTTAACTTATCCAGTATAGCATCATGTTATCATTTACAGTTTAATGCAGACAATAAAACACAACATCTTTGACCATTTCTCACAGCTCAGCTTAGCAACATCTTACTCAGCCACCCAACCCGCCTACAACTCACCCAAGTCTCATTTGCCAAAATTTCTTATATCTATCATGTTGGAGAACAAAGGTGATCAAGCTCGTTCCCCTACATAATCAGCCGATTAAAATACCTTGGCTTATCACTCACAGCTAAAACTCCCTACTCATAGTACACAATCAAAGCCTAATAATCTCACCCCGTAGGTTTACTAAGACCGTTGCTCTGATACCACTAAAATGTCATGACTCCTTTTTATATAGAATCAATGACATTTCACATTACCTTTCTTAATTCACTTAGTCATTTATTAGATATTACATGTACGAGTCTAAGAATATAAATTTATCGCAAATTGGAGTTTGACATTTACATCAATAAAATAACAAAGCTTCTTGGATATTTTCATGTAACACCAAACTTTACAAAAGAAAATTTATATATTTACAACATAGTGATTCAGTGAGGATTTCAAAATACAAGGGTTCAAAATGTAGATACATTTCTTTGCAAATTAATAACTCAACATTCTAGACTTAATGCTTAAAATCTAGTCCAATAAAATGATTAACTCTGTGATCTTCCAAAAAGTGAACTCCAATGTCTCTCAGCCAGACCTTCAACCTTGAGAAGTAGATGCATTCCCTATAACTTTTGCTCACGTACCATCGTACGATTATTGTAGCACACACATACCAACACAATAAAATGTAAGGGTGAGTTTATAAAATTAACAACCTTAATAATGAAATATGAATGAATATAGATAAAATTAATTAAACAGCTCATAACAATCAACACACAACATTACACAGCTTCAATAAAATAATGTAGCATGTCTAGCCCATTCCCAACCCATCTAATGCAAATGCAGCAATTTAGTTTCCATCTGGTTTCGCAGCCTAAGTAATCTAGAGGAACTATTTTTAGGTTTGGGAGCGACCCATCCCGGTATCTGAATCCAGACAAGTCATAGCTCAACATCGTAATCAACTCTAAAATGATGATAATGAATGTGATGCATCACAACGAGATCAATATAATAAGGCACAATTAAATCTACATTCAATCTTAGCAATTCAGCAATACATATAATTTCAGCTAGCTTCAACATCATAGTGACATAAATATATTCACAGCTTTAGCAATACAACTTTGTGCATTTACACATTAAAATCAAGCAGCTCATAACATTAATTAAGTATTTTCAACTAATTAAACAATGAACAACTTTAATAAAAATTTTCAACATATTTCGACAATCTCAGCACATATATCACCATATTTCAACATATCGTGTCTTCTTTAAAGCATTCTAAGTATTCACTAGGCAATGGAGAAATCTACTCAGCTATACTACTTTGGGTGTTATTCTAGAATCTGACCACTAAACAAATTATTTCTCAACTATGTCAGAATTAAGTTCATAAATAGCTTTATATCTACTATACAAATAAACCAGCTCACATAAGATCCCCTCACCTGGAACAAGTTCCAAGATAGTACTCCTAGTGAGTTCCACAGAGATAGTTGAACCGTTTGGGTATGAAGTACAACTTGAATGACTCAGATCTACTTAGGACAACATGATATAAATCTCTAGAGAAAGAGAAAGAAGGAACAAAGTAAAGACTGAAAACTGAGCTCCAATAACTCACCTAGATCTCAATGAGATAAAAGTTCTCACTTTGATTGGGGTGAAATTCAGCTTAGAGAAGGTTTTCTCTAAGGGTAATAGGAGAGAGAATAGAGAGAGAATGAGAGAGAAGCTGTCTGGTGAGAAAATGAAGTTTTTGGGCGTTGAGGCCTCCTTAAATACCCTTCCAACCTACACGCTCTCGCTTAAGCGAGCTAACCCTCGCGTGAGTGAGATCGGCCCTCGCATGGGCGAGAAAACCAGACAGTGAAATCTCTCAGATTTCTGCTATTCTCACTTAATCGAACAACACATCACTTGAACGAGCTACATCTCACCTGGGCGAGCAGAATTCCTGCTTAGGCGAGATTGCGTCCATAGAGCTACCTATTATTCCTACGACTACTTGCTTGAGCGAGCACCTTTCGCTTGAGCAAGGTCACCTCTCGCCTGAGCGAGATTCCTTCTCGCCTGGGCGAGGTTACAACTGAGGCAATCCTATATGCTCTCACTTAAGCGAGATTGATCTCGCTTAAGCGAGACACCTTGCACCTAGACTTCAAATTTCTCTCCCGAGTTAAATACTACCAACTCTTAACTGTACTTTCTAAATTATTTAGACACTTAGCACACTTAATAATCATTCTCCAGCTCACACTGTACTTCGCATTTAATCAACATCATCATCATATAGCACAACAACCACACTACTCCTTATTCAGGAATTACATAACCTTTATATTCCATATTCCAACATATAAACAATTCATATAGTTCAAGTCTACACAACCCTAATCAATAGGCATAATAATAAATACATATGATTACACCAATCTTACAACATATAACTAGGAAAAACCCAATGAGATAAAAACCTAGTGAAAAGAAAAATATATTATTATTTAATACGCTATTACATACTGCCTCATTAAAAATCTTGCCAGGGAAACCCGATGAGAAAAAACCATAGCTAAGGAAAAAGAGTGGAGAGCATATTTAAATTCTCCCCCTCATGTGGACAATCATTTCTAAGACGACAAAGTCCATTCTTGTGAACTAGTTGTTCAAAAGTTTTACTTGGAAGTTACTTTGTAAAAATATCTGCCAGATTTTCACATGAACGAACTTGTTGAATATTTATGTCACCATTTTTTTAAAGATCATGCGTAAAAAAGAATTTTGGAGAAATATGCTTTGTTTTATCTCCTTTAATGAATCATTCTTTCAATTGAGTAATACGTGCAACATTATCTTCACATATAATTCTTAGGGTCATGTTTCCTAAAGATAAACCATAAGCTTCTTGCACATGTTGAATCATAGATCTCAAGCAGACACATTCTCGACTTGTCTCATGTAATGTTAAAATTTCTGCATAAATGGCTGGGTTCAAACCATTGTAGAAGGTTTGCACTTGAAGCAGTCCGGAATCCCATGATGTGGACACTTCCGCAGCAATTCCTTAAACCTCTCCCACGTATTGTATAAAGTCTCTGACTCCAATTGGTAGAAGGAAGAGATATCATTCCTTATCTTGGCAGATTCGCGGGAGGAAAATATTTTGCCAAGAATTTTTCTGTCATAGCCTCCCATGAAGTGATAGATCCTCGTGGGAGAGAGTTCAACCACTGTTTTGCTCTGTTCCTGAGAGAAAATAGAAACAACCTCAAGCAGATTGCATCATCAGTAGCTCCATTGATCTTAGAAGTATCACAAATTTCTAGAAAATTTGCAATGTGACCATTGGGGTCTTCATCTTGCAACCTATCAAATTGGACAAACTGCTAAACCATCTGAATAACATTGGACTTTATTTCCAAATTCTCCTGCACATCCGGACGGACAATGTTAGACTCTGTTCCCGTTAATGATGGGCGAGCATAATCGGACATGGTCCTTGGTTGCTCTTAATTGTTTACCATTCCTTTCATATGGGTTTGTGCGTTTTCTCTTTCTACTAGCAGTCGCCTCTCTTTCTGAATTTTTTGCAAAGTTCTTTCTATCTCTGGGTCAAATTCAAATTGTTCTTCAAACAATGCAGCAAAACGGGTTCTAATCATACACCAGAAAAATCAGCTCCTAAAAAGAATGAGAACAAAATAGAAAAATTAATTCAAGACTAAAGAAATAAAGAAAATTAGTAAATACGTAATCAAGGGAATCCTAATTAATCAGTCCCCAGCAACGGCGCCAAAAAAACTTGGTATGTAAAAATTGATTACTAGGCAAATGTACCCGTTGTCAGAGTAATATTATGAAAAAAATAGAGTACCAAGTGTCGTATCCACAGGGACTATTATTAAGAATTACTTCCTTAATTGCGAAACTGTTACTGAATATGAGAAATACATTTTGTTGATAAAATTGCTAAAGATAGAAGAATAATAAATTAAAAGGAACAAATTTCTTATGAAAATAAATTATAGAAAAGTATGACTAAAGGTATTCAAAGGAAATAGGCAAGCATTTAGACTGTAAATCCTCCTAAGTGTGCAAATAACTAAAATTCTTCTTCAACTACTTAGTTCCAAACCCTTATCGTTGCAGGAAATTCTGAATTAAGTCAATTCCTTTCTCAAGGATAATGATTCCTAACCATCGGTTGATCAATCAGAATCTCTTCCTTAATTAATATCCCTAGGTTGCATTAAGTTCATTATGAATTCTATGATTAGGGTTAATCCTAATACAAAAAACTTACGTCTTTGTATCTCCAGAAATACATTTGAGTCCTTTTAATTGAGCAATGTTAATTTCATGTAGGAATTTTACTCAAATTCAAACAAGAAAACAAGATGGAAGACAATTGATACTACTTAATTAAACCCAAGAGAAAAGAACATGAAATAGCATTAGAAGAATTCCAAAAAATTTGGTCAATTAGGATTCATTACGTCTAGATACTCAAAGGAAAATTAGAACCTAAACATCTTGAAACTAAAATTACAAAAGAGATAAATAAAAGTGCTTGATCCCATCCTCCAGCCGTCTCAGAGTCTTTCTTCTCCTAAAAAAAAAAATCGTCCTCTAGGTTTTTGTGCCAAGTTCTCTTTTATATGAGTGGCCCAAGGGCTCATCTTTTCACAGAAATTTAAATTCTGACGCACGTTAAAAGTACACGCCCATGTACACGGCCATGTACATCTCTAGTCTCTAAAAATTGCACTTCACAACTTTCTTGAAAACTACACAGCCATGTACTTTGACCGTGTACATCTCTGGTTTTGATGATACACTTCAATTGACGCGACTAGTGAGATGCACGCTCATATACACAGGCATGTACTTGCCCGTGTATATCTCCGGCTTCATTGTGTTCTTGATTCATACAACCAGTGAGATACACACTCATATACACGGGCGTGTACTTTCCCGTGTATATCTCTGGTTCTTCGTGTGGTTTAATTCCCAATATCTTTTAAAGCTTTCACTTCTTGATCGTTTTTCCTGAAATATGAATAAAATGAAATTAATAATAGTAAATTTTCTCAATGAATAGCTTAAAACTCTTAATTATCATTCATGAATTACAATGTAAGATCAAGTATAGAAAGCATTTATCAGTAGCCGTTATAGTTTATTTCATAGTTCGTTATAAAATGACTGTACCACCACATGTAAGCAAATAACCTGTTTGTGATCTACCATTATGTGGGTCGGAAAAAAAACCCGCATCTACATAACCAATCAACTCAGATGTAGATTTATTTGAGTAAAATAAACTGATATCCATTGTACCTTCAAGGTAACGAAATATATGTTTAACTCTATTTCAATGTCTTCTTGTAGGTGAGGAACTATACCTTGCTAATAAATTAATAGCAAATGATATATCAGGTCTTATATGACAATCAAGATATATTAGTGCCCCAATTACACTAAGATAAGGTACTTCAGGAACTAGTAGTTCTTCATCCTTCTCCTGAGGTTTGAAAGGATCTTTGTTTACATCTAGTGACCTTACAACCTTTCGAGTACACAATATATGTGATTTATTCATATAAAATTATTTTAATACCTTTGTGATATAAATTTCTTGATGCATAAAAATTCCATTCTTTACATATTTAAGTTATAATCCAAGACAAAACTTTATCCTTCTAAGGTCCTTCATTTCAAATTCTCTCTTTAAGCAATTTATTGTTTTTGAAATCTCTTCAAGAGTTCCAATGATATTTAAATCATCAACATAAACAACAATTATTACAAATCCATTATAAGATCTTTTTATCAAAATGCATGGACAAATATGGTCATTTTTATGTCCTTTCTTCAACAAATGTTTACTAAGGTAATTATACCACGTGCGTCCAGATTGTTTAAATCCATAAAGTGATTTATTCAACTTGATTGAATAACTTTCTTTAGAATTTAAATTGTAGGCATCTAAAAAAATAAAACCTTTAGGTAGTTTCATATAAATGTCATTATCAATTGAGTCATACAAATAGGCTGTAACAATATCTATTAATCACAAATCAAGTCCTTTATCTACTGCTAAACTAACCAAGTATCAAAAAGTATTTGCATCCGCTATAGGTGAATATATTTCTTCAAAATCAATGCCACGTCTTTGGAAAAAACCTTGAGCAACAAGTCATACTTTATATCTTACAATTTCACCTTTCTCATTTCGTTTTTGCAAAAAAGCCCATTTATATCTAATAGGCTTTACATCTTCAGGTGTACAAAGTATAGGTCCAAGAACTTGATGTTTTGTGAGCGACTTTAATTCCACTCAATTGCATCTTTCCATTTTTCTCAATCACTTTGTCTACACTTGTTGACTAATTTTGGTTCATGATCCTCTATATCAGTTATCACATCTAATACTATGTTAAATGAAAAAACATCATCAACATTGACTTCATTTAAGTTCCATTATATTCTATTCATGACATAATTTATTAAGATCTCCTTATTTTCATCATTTTTAGGTACCTATGCTTCTTCAGGAATTAAAATATTATGTCTGATGACTCTTCTAGAGTCTTTATATCCTTATTTTGGTCACCTTGATTATTAGTTCCTTTTCTTTATCGAAGATTTTTATCTTTGGAACCAAAAGGTCTACCACGCTTCATATGTGATTCAAATTGATTTGCAACATTAGATTATATAATTGGAACATTGATTTTGATTAAAGCATTAGCACCTGGCACATATGATTGATAAATGCTTTCTATTCCTGGTCCTACATTGTAATTCATGAATGATAATTGAGATTTTTGAGCTATTCATTGAGAAAATTTATTATTAAGTCTATTTTATTCATATTTCAGGAAAAAGGATCAAGAAGTGAGAGCTTAAAGGATATTGAGAATTGAAGCAAGAAAAGAACCAGAGATATACACGGGCAAGTATATGGTCGTGTACATGAACATGTATCTCACTGATTGCATAAATCAAGCACATAATCAAAATAGAGATATACACAAGCAAGTACACGCCCGTGTATATGAGCATATATCTAACTGGTCGAGTCAATTAAAGTGCATCATCAAAACCAGAGATGTACATGGCCATGTACATGGCTGTGTACTTCTTAGAAATACTGTGAAGGGTAATTCCTAGAGGCCAGAGATGTACACGATCAAAGTACATGGCCTTGTACTTTTCAAGAAAGCTATAAAGGGAAATTGTTAGATACCAGAGATGTACACGGCCAAAGTACATGGCACATACGATTGATAAATGCTTTCTATACCTGGTCCTACATTATAATTCATGAATGATAATTGAGATTTTTGAGCTATTCATTGAGAAAATTTATTATTAAGTTTATTTTATTCATATTTCAGGAAAAAGGATCAAGAAGTGAGAGGTTAAAGGATATTGAGAATTGAAGCAAGAAAAGAACCAGAGATATACACGGGCAAGTATATAGTCGTGTACATGAACGTGTATCTCACTGATTGCATAAATTAAGCACATAATCAAAACAGAGATATACACAAGCAAGTACACACCCGTGTATATGAGCGTGTATCTAACCAGTCGCATCAATTGAAGTGCATCATCAAAACCAGAGATGTACACAGTTAAAGTACATGGCCGTGTACATGGGTGTGTACTTTTCAAGGAAGCTATGAAGGGAAATTGTTAGATACCAGAGATGTACACGACCAAAGTACATGGGCATGTACTTTGAACGTGCGTCAGAATTTAAACTTCTGCGAGAAGATGAGCCCTTGGATGACTCATATAAAAGGAAACTTGGCACAGAAACCTAAAAGAGGTAGTACTGGGGAAAGATGAAGTCAGTGACGGATGAAGAACGGAATCAAGTCTTTAATTCATCTCTTTTGTAATTTTAGTTTCAAGATGTTTAGGTTCTAATTTTCCTTTGAGTATCTAGACGTAATGAATCCTATGTGACCAAACCTTCTAGAATTCTTCTAATGCTATTTCATGTTCTTTTCTCTTGGGTTTAATTGAGCAGTATCAATTGTCTTCGATCTTGTTTTCTTGCTTGAATTTGAGTAAAATTCCTGCATGAAATTAACATTGCTCAATTAAAAGGACTTGAATGTATTTCTAGAGATAGAAAGACATAAGTTTTATGTATTAGGAGTAACCCTAATTATGGAATTCATAATGAATTTAATGCAACCTAGGGGTATTAATTAAGGAAGAGATTCCAATTGATCAACCGAGGGTTAGGAATCATTATCCCTGAGAAAGGTATTGGTTTAATTCAAAATTTTCTGCAGCGATAAAGGTTTGGAATTAAGTAGTTGAAGAAGAATTTTAGTTATTTGGACACTTAGGAGGATTTACAATCTAGATACTCGCCTATTTCCCTTGAATACCTTTAGTCATACTTTTTTATAATTTATTTTTATAAAAAATATGTTCCTTTTAATTTATTATTCTTCTATATTTAGCAAAT